CTTTGGACGCCTATGCGTAAGCCTCGATCTCGGTGGGCTGGGTCGAGTCGACCCGTGACGCGGATCAAGCCGTGCGTGCGTGCCGGCCGGCCGAGCGTCCAGACACGCGCGGCACGGCACAGAGTGCCAGGTCCCCTCTTTGCTATGTCAGCCATTGGACCCAACCACACCACGTCCTCATCCAGCTCATCCGCCGGGGTCGGGCCACGCGGTTTCGTTCGTGCGACTACATTCCAAACTTATCCGCTGCATAGCATAGATGGCTCCGTTTCTTGAGTCATCGTGGTCATGCATGCATGCAATGCCAATCTTAGGTGGCGCAGTGCAGCTAGACCACTGCGATAATGTCAGATCAGATCGCCGTTCAAGCATCCACGTTCAGATCAGATCAGATCACCGTTCAGGCACCCACGCGTTCGCTTGCTTAACGGCAGTTCTCTCTGCTTTTAACTAATCATCATAGTAAAAGATCGCCGCCTGGCCTACCCATGGTCCTCCGGTGACCATATTATTTTTACGACGGCACAGTCCCTATACGAGGCTGAGCTATCATGAGACTGGTGATAATAACAGATAAGTGGTTACATGCCCTAGGTTGGAACGAGCTGAATAGACAGGCAGAGACAGAGATACATGATCGGAACTTGCAGGGTAAAAAACACAAGTCGATCGACACACACATACGCTCGCCATCGTCGTAAAGCCTGCCAAGTCACCTCAGCACCCCACCCACATTTTGTCTTGGAGAATGTCCAAGCATCCGCGTCACCCTGTCACACCGCCGCCTGGTTTGTAACGAGCGGAATGGCTAGAATAATGCTCCGGTGAGCTCGATCTCTGGGGACGTTACCAATCCCTGTTGAGGAGAAGGATCTATCGGTGTTGCAGGAAAGAAGGGAGTACTTGTCACGCTGTTGTGTTTTATGTTTTGTTAATTGAATAGAAACATTAGATTAGAAAACAGCGGCATTGCTTTGAACGCATGGACAGACGAATCAGTGATATCGCCTGTGCCCAAAGTCGTCGTCTACCTCGGAGCTGAGACCGATGCCAGCAATCCGCGTTCTCCGGGACTCTGGAGCTACCGATGCACATACGTGTGTATGAGTAGCTTTGCGAACCCAGACACCTGACCCTCCATCGGCCGACGCCTTTGCCGCGGTGCAATTGCCAGACGAGGTCTCTTACGGCGCGATGGGAACCAATAAACCGGCAAAATTAGTCTCTCTCTCACCCTGACCCACGGCTGACCGCTTCTAGAGGTGATCACGAAAGAAGCACGGCCATACCCAAAAAAGGGCATTCTTGGACTGGCATCGGTGGCCGCATGCGGTTGATCCGTTCGTGCGAGGTTTGTCCCGCAGCGACGGACAACGCGGATCAGCGAGAATTCCCGGTGATTGTTTAGCCGGAACTGAATCCCCAGACATGGACATCGCCGTATTACTATTAAGTTAACGACACGGGAGATCACGAGCGAGCACGCCAACCTCATCAATCCAGCTGAAAATGGCGTGTCTGCGGGTCTTGGGGAGACTCTCTGTTTTGACTGCTTCAGGTGTTGCCTCCAGAGTGAGACAAGAAACAACAGTTCGAGTGTAGCTGGAATCACCATATACTCATTTTAGTATGCTACATTTGCACTAACCAGTTAACCACTACCGGCCTGGCGCCATTATCTTATGCGCAATGGTGCTTACTTTCATGGATCATGTGGAACTGAGAGGTCATGGTTGCGTGGAATTCGGTCAGGTACAGGTACGACACGACGTGTTCAATAACTGAATATGCAGCATGGCCCCATTATTACAGACTCGGCTAAGTCTGTTTGACATCTAAACTGGAGCTAGCAGATGCCGCGTACGGATCAGCTTGATGAAGACTTGGTCTCACTAAATCGAGGAAGTAACTGACAAAATTTACGCCTAAAAGCTCATAACAGACGAGGATGTACGTCAGAAAAACAGTCGTTTCCTTAGCCTGCAGCTGCAAGTAGCCCGTGACCCGAACTTGTCAGCAATTTGCAGTGACCGACTTGAGCTTTTTATCGAACTGGCATAATATAACAAACAAGAAGGGGAAAAAGTGGGGAATGTTGAAGTGTGTATTCGGATTGCCTAGTCCTTTTCATCAGTTCGGACTTTTGATTGTGCTGCCGCTGGCTAGTGCACGAAGCTTAATAGGGTTAATAGGGAAAAGAAGACATTTGCCCCAAATGGTACACAAGGAAATCTGGGCATAAAGAAACTACATCTCATGTATATTTCGTTAATCATTTCAGCTGTAACTGATTTGTGTTGGTTGTTCAGAAAAGACTTGTCATATACTCCCCGAGGGAATGAAACTACCTCCAAAAAGACAAAAAACAATCTAAAACCCTCGAAATATTCACATGCAGTTATGCAGTTATTCGTTGCACAAGCTGTACAGAGACTAGAAGGCTACAAGCTGCACATGCTGAATATCAGGAGATGTCCATTGCTTCCAGAATCTCAAAATGCATCAGGAGACTGCGTGGTCTACCATCAAAATACTTCTTTTCAGATAGCGTCAGTCTTCCTTCACATTTGTTGGCCTCGTCCTGAAGCAACCGCAGCATCGTGTTCTTCTCGGCCAGGATCCATGGGCGGTTCGGATCAGACCACTGCCTCGGAGTCCCATGAAGGACGAAACGGGGAGTATCACTAGTCTGGGAAACATAGTTGGCTATCCCCTTGATCACCGCATGATCAGTAGTGTATGCTCCAGCACAATTGAGGCCCACATCCAAATAATGGAATTCGGAAATACTTGATAAAATATCACTAGCTGTAGCAGGAACAAATAGATCACCGGTCAAGAGGGCTGGGTTTTGCCGTGAAATATCAACTGAACCTTTTGCTGATTTTGAGGCCCAATTAGAAAGTTCTGCCACAAGCTGGTTGACGACAACTCCACCCTTACTGAACCCCAGGATGATAGTTTTAGGAGCAGACGACGGTAGCAATGACGCAGTAGGTTCTTGATTGCCTGCAGAATCATTCAATGACCCCCTCGTGACCTTATTTTGTATCTGCTAACAAAAATCGTGGATGAGAGGAATTAACAAGGAAAAGTGGAAAGGCACAAAGTTCTGAGTGAACTCTAGAACGTCTACAAGAAATGAGAATACGACTACAGTATGCTAATTCAGGGGGAAGACATAAACCACGTAAAATGTACAGGTGCAATAAGATAAATACACAAAAGGGAAACAAAATGGCAAGATCTCATAAGAAAGCTAAACATCTCAGTATGCACATATTGAAAACCAAAACAATACATTGACGCAAAACAAGAACGACGTATAACATATGCATTGTCATTAACTAGTAATGCAGTGGGTTTTTTCCAATACTGATGGAAAGGATATACTCCCTCCGTTCCAAAATAGATGACTCAACTTTGTACTAACTTTAGTATAAAGTTGGGTCATCTATTTTGGAACGGAGGGAGTATTTTCTAAGCAACAGTCTGTTAAGGGCGCGTGTTTTGGTTTCAGTTATCTTGGAAGGATCCCTGGCAGTATAGTTCTTGCTCCACTACCCACAGTTATATAAGATAGTAATACAAGACTGACGGAAATTCGTTCTGGCTCTCAGGTCCAGATGCACCCGGAATCTGAACCACACTTTCCCCTAGTGATGTGCACCACCGTATGTATTCTACAAGACTGCCAATGTAACCAGACTGGATACCGGAAATTTGTGATATTAATATTACCTCTGAAACAGGTTCCTATCTTGGATTATTTGGACCATGGGATGCATTAAAGTGATTCTCTCCAAAACTGCCACACGATGAACAGGTTCCTATATGAGGTCAGCGACCAGGTTGTCTTCAGCATAAACATCGGTATCTTTGCTATCCTATCCACCGTCTCTCCAAGAACCCTGGTTAAATCATCTGCAGACTAATCCATCCATTAATTTAACATTGCATCAATCTCAACCAACTAAGCTATACATCCCATGATGAACATGGTATAATGACATGTTGCAAGGCCACGAGGAGACTGTCACTGGGCTCTGGGCTTGAAACACTCAAAGATGATGAAAGGGCCACGTCCAGACCTGTCTGCTCCATGGCAGCCTTTTGGGTCAGTGAGAGGCTGTTGTACTCATGCACACCACTGACAAAATGAACTGAAATGTACACGATTCCCACGTGAAATCCAAGAGCAATGCTCTAATACTCATAGCCATCCTCTGGTAATTATATCAAACATGGCAATTTGCCATTGTTCGTTCTCTGGTTCTGGGTATAAGATTATCAGAAATGTTGTTCCTGCTAATATCTAACTCTGCAAAGCAACCCTGAGAGAACATAAGTGCACTGCAGCAGCTTGTCACAAATATGCAAAGTGTAATGTCGGCACAGAAAGTAGTGAAAAGGTGGATCTGATAAATAAGAGGGCATTAATCACCATAACTAGATTCATCATCCTTAGACACACTTATTTGACCCAGAGTCACCTTCGCTGTTTGACCTGGCTGCTTTGTCAATTATAATCACTAGAGCTGTTTAAAATAATCTTATCACTGCCTTGGCTTCACATTGCACCTGAGGGAGTAGCCTTTCTGCAATATGCAGATGGTACCATCCTACAGTTCCAGGATGACTTAGAGCTGGCAAGAAACCTTAAATTTTGACTGTCTGTTTGAGCAGATGTCAGGTTTGAAAACAATTTTTCAAAAAAAGTGAAATTTATCTAACTTGGCAATGCTGCAAACAGAAACACTGAATTTGAGGGAATCTTAACCTGTAAAACTGGTAGACTGGCTATCCCTGTAGATGAGAAGAGCATTAGAAACTGCGATTGGCACAAAACTGTACAGAAATTTGATCAGCGACTTGGGTGCTGGCAAGGCAGGACTTTATCTATTGGTGGCAGACTATCCTCATAAGTTCCTCCTTGTCCAGTATTCCATTTTACATGCGTTCTTTCTACAGAATCCAAGTTGAAGGAAAAGGCAGGTTCACTAAGAGCCACATTTTTGTGGAGCGGGGAAAAACAAAAATAAATATCATTTCATTAATTGGCCCCAAGTTTATCTACCTAAAGATCATGGTGGCCTCTGGATTTTAGATCTAGAAATCATGAGCATTGCTCTTCTGTCAAAATGGTTGCAGGAAGCTATTTAATAGCAGAGGTCCTTGGCAAGATTTTCTGACAAACAAATACTTGAGCTAAGGCAGGTTGTCACCAAAAATGGGAGCTCTCACTTTCGGTAAGGATTGGTGGAAATTGAAAACCTATTTCTTAGCTGCTGTAAAATTGAGATAGTAAATAGGAAGAAAACAACCTTTTGGGAGGATAACTGGCTTGGAGGAACCAGACTTGCTGAAAAATTACCCAGGCCCTTTTCTACCTCTTCAGAACATTACATTACATCAGGTTTTGCTCTAGGTTTTAACGCCTAACTTTCAGAAGAGCTACAGTTGGAGAGAGACTAGCACAATGGCGAGTTATGCGTGATTTATGCGCTAATTCCCCCTTGACTGATGGGGAAGACAAATTTGTTTGGCTTCTCTCCAGCTCTGTGAGTTTAGCGTGAAGACTTTCTATGCTGTTATGCGAAGTGCTGGTGTAAAGTTAAGATCCCCTACATGTCAAAACTTTCATTTGGCTGGTGCTTAGGAAAAGCATTCCAAAGAGGGGGGCGTTTTGGTGAGAAGGGGTGGTGATTTTGAAGCTTCATGTTTGTTCTTTGGTAGCAATGAAACCATCAGTCATCTCTTTTTCTCTTGTCCCCTGGCCAGATATATCTGGGATGTGGTTAGCTGTGCACTGGGAATTCGTTGTCAGTTTACCTGAATACCTGGCTTAAGACTTTTACTGGAAGCAAACGTGGGATAACTGCCGTTGGGGTTGCAGGGGTCATGTGGGGTATTTGGAAATTGCATAATCCGGCCTGGTTTCATAACAAATGGCCTAGCGATCCTGGTGTGGTTATCTTTCAAATTTGTTTCTGGATCAAACACAGGAGCTTGTCGCAGGGGAAGGAGGAGAAAGCTGGTACTGCACAGGTGCACAAGACTGTTGGAACAATTAGCTGTTGAGACCTTCCAAGATTAGCGAAGCTGGACGCCATGGATTTCGGCTGACGACATGACAGTGACATGGGATGGATTTTGGGAGCACGGCATCTGTCTTTTCTGCTCCTTTTTATTTTAGCTAGATCGCCTCCATTGCTGGGAGCTGAGCTCTACATATATGTATTGCCGCTATTATTCCCTACTCTAGCTTCGACTAGCTTTTGTTGCCCCTGTTTTTGGGCTGGCTACTTTGGTAGTTGATGTGTGAGGCAGTTAAAACAACATTGTAATTCGTAAAGCTATGATTTCTATAAATGGAAATTGGGGGGAAATCCTTTCTTAAAAAAATAAATATAAACACTTAGTTTTAGATAGTCAGTTTGTGTACAGTTTTTGTGAACTAAAATGGCATCTCATCAACCCAAATAGAGGATCCACGAATTCCCTTTCTTCAGAAATGGGTGAAGTATTCAGCTAAACTAGTTCCCGGATTTTATTTTAAAAATAACTAATTCCTGAATCCAACGACTACCTATGTATCTGCCCTGAAATAAAATACACCTAACATATCCAGTAACAAGAATGTGACAACAGCATAAGAATTAATACCTGAATTACTGTAACATCGTATTTGACCTAGGCAAATCTTTGACTGCTGCTGAATTTTCCCGAAATTTACCACAACTTACCTCCCGAATACAATGTGCCAAGATGCTGGCAACGCCAGCCGCCGCCGGTAGGCCAGTGGGGTCATACCGCTCAGGGTCGCCAACGGTGTCCACGGACGGCACAAGCCCTCGGTAAACCGCAAACGGCCCGGCAAAGCAAGCGGCATCGACCACCCACGCGTTGGCTTCCCCGGCGAGCTTCCCAGCGAGGAGCTTGGCGAGGTAGGCGGCGTCCGACAGCCGCTCGATCGCCGGCTCGCCGGTGCTGGGGACGCGGTCGCCCGTGAAGAGGATCGCGTTTGCGCGTGGAACCTGGGCGGCATCAGGGCGTGAGGCTTTGGATGCTGTTATTGCCTTGGAGAGGGGAAAAGGGCAGGCGGGTCACCGTTCATCCTTACGGCGAGGGCTTTGGAGGGCGCGAGGATGAGCGAGGCAGCGACGCGGAAGAGGGGGCCGCCTTGGGAGAGCGGGACGTGGAGGACGCCGGTCCACCGTTCCATAGCGGCCGCAAGGTCGCCGGATTTGCGGGAGAGGGGCCTCCGAGGCGAGCAGCTGGGACCTGGGGGACGATGCATAGGTAGAGCTATGATGAAAGAAGTGTCGATATCTTCAGTCAGAGCATGTACAATGGCCTGTTTGGATACTCCAACTCAGTTAGAGGTTAGAGTTAGATTCTAACCCTGAACTAACTCTAGTCAAAGAGATGTTTGGGTGACATGGTTATATGGAGCGCGGTACGGGAGGCACTGTGCGAGAGGGAGGGAGGGAGAGGATGAGAAGCTTCGAGGAAGTGGCGAGGAAGCGAGAGAAAAATATGTTTTTTTAGTGGTTCTGAGAAGAACTAACCCAAATAAGCACCTCTTGGGTGGGTTAGATTTTTTGGATGAGTTAGATGCATCTACCCAAACTAACCCTTCTGTTTGGATATTTTTGGGTTAGTTGAATCCAAACTAATCCAAACTAACTCTAACCCATGGATCCAAACAGGGCCAATGTACTCTTTGCTTCAGTTAGAGCAAGTACAATGTACAATGGGCAATTTGACTATTTGTCACTCTTTACTTTGTATTTGATCCGATGACACTCTATATATGGGTGTTTGATATTTTGTCCTTTATCAGATGGGTCCCACAAAAAAGGACGAACTTACCCTTACCTCTCGATTCACCAGGAGCAGAGGAGCTATCGGTCGTTCTCATCTCCTCTCTCACACGCAATGTTAAAGGGAGTGTTTTAGACATCTCATGGCTAACTTCACTGACAGTTTCAGGAAGATGTGTTTAGCTGAATGCGGCCAACTATTAGGGCATATAAGCCACAAGTTTTTAACTACCATACAAATAAAATCCTAGCAGAGGCGCATGATGTGCATGAATATCTTTCAAGATACCATAACTTAAAATGGGCGAGATGCATGTTTGACCCCTCCATTAAATGTGATTACATCAACAATAACCTTGTTGAGCCTTCTAATAGTTCAATTGAAGATTACAAAGAGTTGCCACATGATAAGCCAGCTGACACTCTTAGAGAGCTAGTCATGAAACTTCGTAAGAAAAGAAGAAAGATTGGAATGAAACTGAAAGAAAAAATTATTTTAGCCATCATCCAACAGATTCATAATAGGACAAGGGGACTTAAACATTTAAAAGTTGAAAAATCTGGAGTTGCAAGTTGTGAGGTGGGGAATATAAGTAAATACAACTCGCGACATGTTGTGAAGAGTGACCAAAGTGAGTGCACATGCTTGGAGTGGCAACCCACATGGAAGCCTTGTGAGCATGCACTTGCTTTCTTGCTGGATAGAAAGAACCCCAGATAGGAGGACATGTACATGACTATTTCTCTCTAGAGAAGTTCCGGGCAACATATGCTGGAGTGGTTGAGCCATTTACAGATAGGTCTCAATGGCCACATGTAGAATTTCCATTTGACATGGAGGCTCCATTAGACAAGAAAATAGGTGTTGGAAGGCCTAAAAAGAACAGGTACAAGAGCTTCCTCGAAGGTGGAGATGGTGGTCCTAAAAAGAAGAAAGAGCCAAAATAGCTAGGCAGCAAGAATAGATGCAAACGATGCCACATTTTAGGCCACTGACAGTCCACCTATCCATTGAATTGACCAGGGCCAAGGTACTTGTAATGATAAATGTTCATTTCATCACTTGCTTTACTATGTGATGACTTGTTTATTGAAAGAGCATGGCGCCCCATGTGTGGTTTTGATAATTGATGACATTCTCTATGGACTAATGGTTGCCTTGAATTATATTCGTAGGATTTTTTTCATAGGCATTTTTGAAGTCCTTTGATTGGTTTCAAGGAGATTATGTGATGACCAAGGTGCTATTGAAGGAATTATCCAAAGATTGGTCATAGAGAAGACAAGATACACGGTTGATCACGACTAAGTCAAAGAATGAATCAAGTTGATCAACACACAAAGCGCACTGATATGTCTAAGTGTATATACTTTTCCAAACAACTTTGCTCTTATTTTGGACTCTAATTTGCATGATTTAAATGAAACTAATCCGGAATGACACTGTTTTCAGCAGAACTAGCATGGTGTTGTCTTTGTGCAGAAATTCTTGGAATTGGATGAAACTTTTTGGAGATTTTTTATGGAATATATAAAAAATACTGCAGCCAAGACCCACCGGAGGGGGGGTGACCTACTGCCCACAAGGCTCCGCTCACCCTATCTCAGCACTATAAATTCACATTTCCCTAGGAAAAACGAGAGAAGAAGTTTCATCATGTTTCACGATAAGGAGCCGCCATCGCCGCCTCCTGTTCTTCATCGAGAGGCCAGATCTGGAGTCCGTTAGGGGCTCCGGAGAGGGGGATTCATTGTCATCGTCATCACCAACCCTTCTTCATCACCAATTTCATCATGCTCATCATAGGAGTGAGTAATTCCTTCGTAGGCTTGTTGGACGGTGATGGGTTCGATGAGATTTATCATGTAATCGAGTTAGTTTTGTTAGGGCTTGATCCCTGGTATCCACTATATTCTGAGATTGATGTTGCTATGACTTTTATGCTTAATGCTTGTCACTAGGGCCCGAGTGTCATGATTTCAGATATGAACCCTTTATGTTTTCATGAATATATTTGTGTTCTTGATCCTATCTTGCAAGTTATACACATCTATTACATGTTATGATCCGCATACCCCAAGGTGACAATAATTGAGATTCTTTCCGGTGATTACCGTAGTTTGAGGAGTTCATGTATTCACTATGTGTTAATGCTTTGTTTCGGTTCTCTATTAAAAGGAGGCCTTAATATCCCTTAGTTTCCTTATGGATCCCGCTACCACAGGAGGGTAGGACAAAAGATGTCATGCAAGTTCTTATCATAAGCACATATGACTATATACGGAATACATGCCCACATTACATTAATAAATTTGAGCTAGTTTTGCGTCGCCCTAGGTTATAACTGTTATATGATGAATGTCATCCAACATAATTATCCATCATCGATCCAATGCCTATGACTTTCGCATACTGATCTTGCTAAGTTACTATTGTTGTTGCTGTTGCTGTCATGATCACTACAAAACTGCTACTGTTGGGGATATAACTACTGAGTATAAACCGCCCAGGAGGGGCCGGGTTATGCTCATCCGTATTGAGGCCCATGAAGACAAGGAGTATGGCGCTTTACCATTGAAGCTTAGAGGCCTAGGGCCCAGGGGTGGATTAGGGCCCATAGAAATAAACCACCATGAGATATGTAACTTGTGTTGTAAGTTAGGGAAAGGTAGAAACCGAGCTGGACACGCGTATGAGCCGGCCTCGGTATTCTGTAAACCGTCGGGTGTCAACCTGTGTATATAAAGGGACGACCCGGCGGCGGTTCAGGGACAAGAAACAATAACTCGAGAGATAGGTAAAGCGGATTCGCTCCCTGCTCATCGAGACCCCATCAATTCCACCATAACTGGATCGTAGGCTTTTACCTTCACTGCAAGGGGCCGAACCAGTATAAACTCCCCATGTCCTTTGTCCGGTTTAACCCCTTTAAGCTAATCTCGTTGCGATGGCTCCACGACTAAGTCCTCTCACTAGGACATCTGACGTGTTAATTCCACGACAGTTGGCGCCCACCGTGGGGCTATCGCACGATGGTTTCGAGTTCTTGAAGGGCAACTTTGAAGGACTCAAGGGATACGCGGTTGGCCGGATGACCAAGAGTCGTCGCGGCAAACTCTACATCGACGACGCGGGCTGGGGCCCCGAGGCCGGCTCAATCGAGTACGGGTACCGGGTCCCCTTTGCAGGAATTCACGTCTTCATCGGCAAGATCGGCGAACCGGGCCCTGAGCCGGACATCTGCACCGACCTCGTCGAGATGGCTCAGCGTGCGAGCCCTGCCCAGGTTCAGCCTGCCATGAAGCGTGCATTCGTGGGATTCATCCATGGTGCAGAATCTGAACCGATGTCCGATGGTGAGACGGTCGTTTACTCAGATGGCGAATCATCCACCGGCGAGATCGAGTCACTGTACCAGCTACAAGATGGTCAGTTCGGGGGCTGTTCCGATGGCGACAGTATTCCGGACCCCCTTGAACCGCCAAACCGGGTTGTGATCTTCATGGTCGGTACACAACCCACATTGCAATCTTCAACTACAGTAGCGATGACTTCCCGATCGGTGGCAGGGGCAGGAGGCCCCGCGCGCCGGCCGGCCCAAGTTCTGTCCGGTTTATTGGACGCCTGGATGGCATTGTTGACCACAGCAGTTACCCCGCAGACTCAAGATCAACATAATGCGGAGGTCACAAAGCTGCGGGGTCAGATAACTCATGCCAAGGAGGACTTGGCAGATGAGGAAACCAGGATGGCTGATGAACGGGCCACTTTAGATGCCCAGTCACAGCGGATTCAGGCGGAGAATTACCGGCTCATGCTGGATCAGAACGCTTCGAATGAGGTGTTGAGGAGGAGGCACCGGTCTCGTCTGCCGCCGGTTTATGAATCGATGAATCTCTTCAACACGCCAGGAGCAGGACCCAGTAATCCGGCAGTGGTAAACTGGACAGAAGCACCTGGGACAGGAGCACCGAATCAACCACGGGTGATGGACCCGCCTCGACGAACAGATAACCCGCCGCAATACATGCCGACCCCGCCAGGTCACTTCTCCACCCCTTTGGATAATATGATTGCTGCGGCGTCTCGATTGGCAGCTATTCCAATGGAGGGTGAGTCTCCAGCGGCGGTTGAGACGCGGCGGGCCAGGGATCTTCTTCAAACCGCTATGGAATAGCAGCATGCCTATTCATATAGTCGCGACAGAATCCATTCAACACCTCGACCGAGCAAGAGTTACAGCAGGCACATTGATGAACCGGCTGTGTCAAGCAGTGCGCGGAACCGTGACACCCCTCGAGGGCCTAATCCGTTGCGCGGTGGTGTGAATGCTCAGGATGTGGTGGATAATGGTAGAGCGTGTCAGGAGGCAGATTTAGCAACGCAGTTAGCAGTGCA